ATTTGTAAAAAATCTTGGTTTAAAAAAAACAAAACAAAAAAACAGCCATGTTGTCGGGGAGCGTCCAGTGAAAATAAAGAGAAGAATTGCAGAGCTAATGTGGAGCTGGGCCTGCACAGAGTTGGGTTTCAGGCTAATTGGGATCATACGCCGCATGTGCAGTTTTGGCACATACGTTAGATTAATCAGGGGGCTCTTTAATCGTGGGGAAATTCTCCTGTGCGTGGCTGGGCGGACGCATGCCCCCCCCCCTCTCACCGACCCCCAGCCTGCATGGGCTCCATCTTAAGCTCAGACCTTTTGACTCCATAAACACCCGCGCTCAGAAATTGGGGTCAACCTCTCATTGCTAGCACCAGAGCGCTATCATGCCACCACAAAGGGGTCCCCTTAATGATTAAATTACATCGAGTATGGATGTTCCGAATCTGCAGATTCCTGGCGGCTGACTCTTCCTCCTGATTGTAATTTATGTCGGAAGTCATTGCTGTCCAACACTCGGCCAGGTTCAAAGCCCGGGAGAGAGGATGTGCACGTGGATGGAGTCTGCATCATGCAGCCGGCTGCAGCTTTAATCTGCACCGACCTCACACAGCCACCTTGTACCATTTACAAACTGACAATAGTCATAAATGCATTTCTGAAATGTGCTCATGTTTTTCTTTCTTATTGCTGCGACTCATTCGCCAACCTCAGCTCAGCCCTGTGTTTACGTTAACCTGTCATTAATCTGCATATGATTAAGCCTTGACATAGATTTGACATTCTGGGCAAGGACTGATTAGCCATTTGCTTGGATGATGATGATGGTGTGTATGTCTGTGTGTTCAGTGTGTGTTTGTTTAGTGTGTGTGTGTGTGTGTGTGTGTGTGTGTGTGAGTCACAGATGGCCATGTGGATCTTTAGTTGAAACTGAGAACTGTTATGAGACCACCATGTAAAATGAGGTGCACTTTATAAAAAAAAAGAAGGTATTTAGGATGATTAACAGGAATTTGAAGAATCTGGATTCTATAATTTGTAAAGACGTGCCAGTGAAAAATTATTAGAGTTTTTTTTTAAGGCCTTAAAAGCATCACTCTGTGTTTTTTCTACAGGCTATAAATATCGGAAACTGGGTTCCATAATTTAGACATTAGGGTTTTCCATCCAGGCAATTATTCAAAATTTGCAGCTATTTAACATAATGTGAATTATTTTTAAAGCCCATTATTACCATGAAAAAACAAATCGTTTTGGTTTTACATAAAAATGAGACCGAGATAAAAAGGTCTCGGAGAAAAGAGAGCTCAAGTGCTGAGCCTCACTCATGGAAGAAGATCTGTGAAATGAAAGTGTTGTTTTTATATCAAAGGGAGAGAAGCTTAAAAGAATACCTCCTTGGGTTTGATTTTATAAAACGGCACACCCCTCTTATTTGAAGAAAAAAAACGTGTGTTTATGCAAACCTGTACTTTTTAAATACAGTACATTGTGAGTACAAGGCCGTATGCAGCAGAGTGAACGATCTGTGCACTCTTGCTTTGTTCTTTTTGTTTACAGCACTTTCAACGTGCTGACATCAGCGCTCATGTTCGCCACATTATGAGCCAGCTGCTTATTGATCCCGCACACTTCAAGGACACCACCTTTACCTCAAGGTCATCGGGTCCAACATGAAGCTTGTGGAGAACAGTCGAGGGTGACATGCAGAAAGGCACATGTTTATCTTTCAAACATTTTAAACAGTTCAGCTTTGGGTGTTTGAGCTGCTTTTAAAGCTACAAGGAGACGACAAAGATTCAACTCCTTCTTCCTCCTCCTTTTGTTCTGATGTTAAAAACAACTTCCGACACCACCCATAGTCGTGCATTTCAGAATTATGGGATTGTTTTAATTGATTAAAGAAATTAAATGCTATTTTGAAGAAAAATCTCTGCTTTCAAATCTCAAATGTTTTTTTTAATCAATTCAGCTTTCAGTGATGAAGCCTTTTTGGTTTCTCCCAGTTTGTCTTTAAAAATGTTCGTATTTACCTTCACTAGTCTATATTTTTACCTTTGTTGTTGTATTGATCCTTTTGTTTCTCAACTTTGACAATGCTAATTAAAAATAAATATATATAGGCTATATATTTATGTGCAGATTTTGGACGGAAAAAATTGACAGTAAAGAAAGTGAAAAATATTATTTACCAGATTTTCTAATTCTAATGACGAAGCCTGAGCTTCTTCTCAAACCGTTTAACACTGCTGGTAAAACAGACATCGTTGTATTTATCGGTGCCTCTTTCTCTCTTCATTATTATTATTATTATTATTATTATTATTATTATTAAGTGGACGACGTCTTGTGTGTATGTTTCTATTGTTGAAGAGCTACTCGGTAAAAGAGATGACGAGTTTTCAGTCTGAGTATGAGTACATTTTACAACTTTTTACCAGAGATATACTCTCACATTTAAAACAGAATAGCCATATGATTGTCAAATTGCACAGGCTATTTAACCATATTAATTTCAAAGCTCGCCCTTTACTTAAAAGACATGTTGTTGTTGTTTTTTTATAATGGAAGCGTTCTGTTCAGGTTGTCAGGATTTTACATGCGGAAAAAAAGTGACTTTTCTTTTTATTCACTCGATCGCGAAAAAAAATAATTATTAAAGTTATTCAGTACAATTTTCCATAGCCTATTCCTTCATTGGAAATATAACAGACTGCACGTTCCTTAGTGAGGCCATTAAAATATTTAAGGACAAATATGAGTTTTAAGTATTTTACATTATGAATAGGCTATTCATTTTTAGATTAGGACCCTTTATGTCAGGCGAAGTTTGGGCCTTGTTAACAGCAACACTGTGGGAAGAAAACATCCCACAATGATAGGCGTCATGATATTGAATAAAATAAAATATAGGCAGAAACCTGCATCTCTTCAGAACAAAGTATCTTGGTTCAGTCATATTAAAGGCTCTGCGCAGAGTGTGAGCCACTTGTATTAAAGCATGTTTGGTGTGTGTGTGTTAAACCCTCATCCCGCAGAGTTTCAGCTATTCGTAGCTCACACACACTCACACACGGACACACACACACACACACAGCTGATGTGAGACGTGGTGAAAGCAGGACACAAGTCTAAATGGTTTACAGTCAACAAGATGCGTTCAGGTGCTGGACTATGATCTTTTACAAAGACACGCTAATGAGGGTCTCACGTCTCTCCACCCTCTGGATTAAAGAATAGTCACTCACAGTTAACATTTGGATGAAGTAACAACAAATATATTGGAGGATTTTAAAGGTTTTTGCCACTTCCGTTTTTATAATAAACATGATGACCTGCTGCAAGTTTAAAATTAAATCAATTTTCTTTTTTTTTTCTTTTTTTTTTCGTCTGAAGATGCTGTGAGTAAAACACACAGCCTACAAACCCATGGACAGAATTGTCATGAATCAAAATAAACTCAGAATAAATGTAGGGTGGCTATTGAGGAACGTGAATTCGTTTTCATTTCACAAGCTATAGCAATTTTCAGCCTAAAACATGCCTACATATTTGTCATTCAGCTTTGGTATTTCCTGCGTTTTGACTGAGCCTGAACGCGTCCCACACGATAGCTCTAAAGATACATCTTATTATAAGCCAGTCCCGCGGGATTTCGTAGTGAGAAAGTGACTGATGTTGTTGCCTGGCTGCGTTGACGTGAATTCCACGCTCACCGTGTCAGACAAAAGAGAGCACGGGATGCAAACTTTGTCTTTTCAAAATTACCTATAGGCCTAATTCTAACAAAAGGGGTTGTCAACAGAATCTCTAGGCTTTAGGAAATCATACAGCGACTTGTGAAAAAAACAAAATGAGCCTTTAAAATAAAGGTTTTATAAAACCTCTGAAGCACACACGTCGATTTATCCTCCAGTTTTTCTTTTCTCCAATCAAACCAGATTATTGCTTTATTTGAATACAATAGTAGACTAGTCTGGTTTGTTGAGTCATTGTCTTTGATTGACTTCGAATTAATAAAAAATGTTTAAAAAAAAAAAAAAAGGTTTTGGCTATGTCAATGTAGTCAATGTCACATGAAAAATAGGCCTACTCAACATGGTACAGGATTTGACTCTTCCTAAAGACTTTTAAAACAAATAACCTTACTATCCGCACGCCACATGTAAATATCCAACTTGTTTTCTTAACCTGTCTCAGAAAATCAAAAGGCTTTTTAGATCATTTAGGAAAAAATAAAATAAGTTGGAATAATTCTAATTCTGTGTTGAACGTTTCTCAAAGGAGTCTCCATCGTTCCCTTTCTTTCATTTAACAAAATGAACAGAACAAAAAAAAATGTGTGAATCCAAGTCTTCAGCAGAAAGCGCATGCCTCCTGCTGAATCCACATGATGAGAACATCAAAAAGGCTTCTTTTTTCTGTGTAAAGATTTGTTTGATCGCCTGCCTGATTTCCATCCTTTTGCATACAAAATTGCAACAAATCTGGCTGCATAGATGCTTCATTACTATCTCTCACTTACACTAATGGTATTTTCAAAGTGCAGTAAATTTATGTAAAAAATATGTGAGGAATCATTGAGTGACTGTATGCGACCATATTAGGCCATGTGTAATAGAGTGACTGATGATGAACCGGCTGTCATAACGGCTTGATTTAAATCTTACCATGTCCTTTATAATAAACAGAAAACAGTATTAGTGAAAATATATTTAATAATTAAACATAGCACAGGTACACAAGAGAAATGCAAATGAGTGAGAGTGGATCTTTAGAATATAAAGGTTTAGACCTACTGCAAAGTTTCGAGTTCCCTCCTCAACAGCGACAAGTTCATCATCATGAGGGAATGCAGGGAGGGCTACGACACAGACACACACGGCTGTTACAGTTCAGCTCTCTGCAGGGCCTGAGAGTCTCTACAGACCGTGCACAAGACAGTCCAGCTTCGGGAGCATCCTCTTAAATGCTCTTTTGGAAGAGTCCAGAAGAGACACAAGCTAAGAGTCCCCCGAGTCCTGGTCCGGGTCATTCCTCCTGAGTGCTCTCTGACTGGGAGCTGGAGCCTTCTGGGTCGGCGTCGGTGGCGGATCTCTCCTGTTCAGAGAGCTGCTCGCTGCTGGGGATGGAGTTCTTCTTTGGACGACCTTTTGGTTTAGTCGGAGACTCCAGGCCTCCTCCCTGCAGAACCTGCAGAAGGAACGACAGGTGTTAAGTTCACATTGTGGTACTAAGATGACCTACATGACCTCTAGTCAGTGATCGTCACAATCATACCAATACGTACATTTCTTTTGGTTTGAGACAGTATATTCATGTCATATATTATTGAGGATTTAAATATATAATTAACTACAGTGGACTCACTTGATTTAGACATATTCTTGTATCTGCTGTGTGTACTTTGTGTTTTCAGTCACTCTGTGTAATGTTTCTTTTCCCTACAATTATAATAAATAGTAACATAAATTCCTGGAAATAATCATTTGAATTACTCTTAACTATTATTAAATTTTCCTCCTCTGGAGCTGATGTGGGTCACTCAATCCTCCACTACACTACATTTCCCATCAACCTCTGTTTAAATAACACAGAGCAAAAAACATTTCCTATATTAATCATTCTTAAAGCTTGTGTTGTTTCTGGAGGCATAACCATCACATCTAAATCTTCATCATCATCATTACAGTCATAATGAAGAATAACTTACAATCTTCTTCCATTTCATCCTCCTGTTCTGGTACCATGTTTTCACCTGAAGCTGACTGAGGCCCAAAGACTCAGCGAGGTCTATTCTGTGAGGCACAAACACAAGAAGAAGAGGAATGAAATTCAAAGCACATTTACAGTTCACAACAGTTCACTGTTTTCTGTCTGGGGAAATCAACCAGTCCAATAAATAATAAATAGTGCAAGCATAGTTGAAGGCATCAAAAGAGGACACTGTTGGGGAGCCTCTGCCTGCGGTGCTACATGCAACAATTCATCATGCATTGTTAAAACCCACAGGAGAAAAGACGAGTCTGTCATCAACACTGAGGTCATGTCCTCTGTATTTTATTGTCAAGTGAACTTTAATCAGCATAGGGATCAAATCTTTAAAAACCTGAAATTGTGGTCTATTCTCTTACTCAACTATTTTCATGTTTTTTCATTCAGTATTCTGAGGCTTTATTTGGGCTATCTGACCCCTTTTAGGTGGATAATGAAATATAACAGCCAATAAAATAGGCTACTTTTAAAAATCATTGTTAATGTACAATTTTGAAAATAAAGTATAGGCCTGCAAGAAGAAAAAAAGGTTTTTTTTTAAAGTCACACACGAGCCCTAAGGCCATAAATCCGTTGTTCATGTCGGATAACTCACCTGTCAGGTGTGGAGAGATACTTCTGCTTCTCGAAGCGTTTCTCCAGGCCCATGAGCTGCAGCTCGGTGAACACGGTGCGGCTCCGGCGGCCCTTCTTGGTCTTGCTGCCCCCGTCGGCGCCGTGCTCCAGCTTCCCGCGGAGGTGCAGGTCCAGCGGCAGGTGGTGGGACGCCGCGCCGATCTGCAGGCCCTGAGCCGCGGACAGCAGCGGGGAGCCGAGCGGGGAGCTCAGGGAGCAGGACAGCGGGGAGATGGGAAACTTCAAGAGGCTCGTCTGGTCCGCTTTTAGCACTGAATTGACAGAGGACGAACAAAAAAAAGACACAAACGGGAAGGTTTTGTTATAGGAACTCAGATCAGGTGGTTTTCAGCATGTTGAGGCTTGTTTATGGAGTAAATAAGACGCACACTAGGTTCTTTGCTCCCGGGGAGCAGCAGGTAGCCTCCATGAAGCAGCTGCAAGCACATTTGATTAGGATCATAGGATTTGTTTGATGGGAGAAGTAACTGACCCTATGGTTCACCAATTATTATCTATCTAAAGTCTCTTAGGTCAAAGTTCAGGCCAGTGGCTAAACGGGGAGCCATGCTTAAACTATAATGCTGATAGAACAGGGAAAAAGTCATCACGCATTTATAACGCAATGCTGACTGATATGAAACAGCAGCATCAATTGGGCCTTATCAACGCGATAGGAGAAAACCCTCAGGCCTATATGGTTAGATTTTTTTATCAAAGCCTAAAGGCTCTTATTTTATATCTGCGTTAGGCTACTGTTGCGTTTTTGGATTGATGTTCCACCTGATTTGAGTCACAATCAAAAAAAAAAATGATGTGATTTACAACGCACATTAAGTAGGCTATTATATGTTCTGAAGTAGTCTAATCTTCATTAAATATGCTGAAATCATAGTTTACAATGGGACCAAAAATATTTATGACAGCGGCAGTAAATCAAGTCTTTCATGAAGTCCTGGGTTGCATTAAAAAAAATGAAAATAAAAAAAAACAACATTGGCCGGATAATATTTCTTAGAGTAGAGTGTGACTTATTTTAGCAAAACATGTCGCTCTTGTGTCTTATTTTTTCTTAAACCGGAGGGCTACTTTGGAGCGAATCAACAAGACATGAATTCTAATTTTGCGGAAGAAATAAAAAAAAACCCTGCATATATTTATTTGTTTGTTTCAATACAGCCTTAAAGTGTTTTTCTTATTACTATTTTTTTTTTTTTTTTACTCGAAGATAGGCCTATGACATTTCTGCTTATTTTTGTAAATCGTGAGTCGTGTCTAAAATATCCTTCCTGTACAAAAGCGATATTATTTACCCATTAGAACAGTTTGGGTCAGGAGCAGACGACATGCTGTCATATTTTTTAAAATGATAACTATTTTCCATCGAAAGTAAACATTCAAATTATCAGTCCATTATAATAGTATAGGTTACATGATTTTAATTTTTCCCCTGCAGGCAACTCAAAACATTTGTTTTCTTACCTAGTTGGTTATGGAAAGGCCGCGTGGACAGGAGCGCATGTACCCCGAATTTAAGAAACTCTCCGGCCGGAGCCGATACTTTGTGCTCCGGGTGATCAGTCAGGATCTCCTCTATCATGAAACTCCTGTAGCGATGAGTCCTGTGGTCGGGATAAACTTCCGGAGGATAATAATGCGCTCCCATGTCCAAATGATGCTGCATAATGTGGTTTTGCGGTCACTTCAACGGACACCAAGCGCGAACACCGACCAACTCTCCTTCAGTGGCCCAAACCAAATGTCATATTCCCGCTGTAGTGCCTCTCTAGTCCGGAGATCACGACTGTGAAGCAAGTTATCCTTTTGGACGAGCAAAGTTTCAGGTACAGGTCGCCGATTTCTCTGCGCGTCTGTGCGTCTTTTGGGGTTTTACGCATTAGACGTCTCTCGTTTGGATGCGCTTCTTTGGCGTGAAGAGATCTGGATCCGAGAGTAGAATCGTAGAAACAAAAGATTCGATCCCGGCCGTGTTCATGCCCCCCCCTTTACTGTGTCTCAGCAGCGGAGGTAAGGAGCTATTTGTCAGCCGCTGTGCGCGTCACCTTGGCAGTGAGTTGAGGAATAAGCTTTGGGTTTTATGAGTCTCGTTATAGCTCCACCTCCTCCCAGGGTTTGTCTTCTGGGTGCCTGCACTGAACCAAAGTTGCATGCAAAACTACACATGTCCAGCATTGATTAATATGCAAAATGGAAGAAAATAAGGACCTGAAAGGACAGAGGTTTTCCTGCAGATGACTTTGCGAGTTATAGGACACCAGTTTGAAGATGATCATAATCATAATGCAACATGGGTATATAACGATTTCTGTTTAATTGACAATTTAAACAAATATTAATATCGAAGACAGATTGTGTAAAGTTGATATCAAGTCTTAGTCCGCGTGTGGAGATTACAATGCATGCTAATACAGCATTAACTTATCGAGTAGGCCTGCAGGTTGGACAATAATCACGAGAGACAGTGTTCAAGAAACCTGCAGCTTTTACTGTTTTGTATATGATTCAGCCCTTATATCGGTGTGAAGACGAAATGAATCCCACATATGATATATGCTACTAATTAATTAACGGATAATTTGTTTATTAAAAGGACAATCAATAGCATGAGGATTTTCCCTTTGGGGTTTAATGTGAGTTAAAAATGGCGACACATCTGTCATACATGGCCTTTTAAAATAAACTTTGGAGCTTACAATGAAAATTAACTTTCTTTGACATTTGTTGTATACTTTTGAACTCAATTTTATTTGAAGTCTTTAAACAAACAATATACATGATAGATAGGAGCAGGAGCTGGTGTGGCAGTTATTCCAATCACATCATGATAAGGACACAGAGCCTAAGGATGGGTGCATGTCAAAACCTGTCTTTACTTTCACTCATCGAGGGATGTTGATGCACCAAAATAACTTAGGAAGCACATAGAAAGCTGATGAGTGATGTCTAAAAAAAAGGGTTCTGGCGTGTTGTAAGGGAGAGGAGGCCGAATAGATGCAAGTGAGAAAATATTGCAGTTCCAGAATTAAAAAAAAAAAAGATAAAGTTGTTTAAAAAAAAGTAGACCTTAAAACAGGAGACATTTGAATCAGACATTTTACACCAACAGCTCCAAACAAATTAGAATACAGGCCTTGGAGTAATGCTCAACATTGTCTTAGTTCTTGTTGTGTAAAATTGAAAATACTGTGCAATTACATGTAACCTCATTTTAGATTTATAAAAACAAAAAGACACATACATTAATTCCTTGTCATATTAAAAAGTCATTGGTTGAATACTTGACAAGTAATAATGAAAAGTTCATATCAGAAGCGATTGGTATTATATTCATTGTCAAAGGCCTGTCTCCTCAGTCAGCTTTAGAGAAGATCTTTTCATTTCATGGACCCTTACAGAGTCTGCCAAGTCAATTTGATACCCTGTCTTAATGAGAAAAAAATCAATTCTAAGCTTTAGGGTACAGTAATGGATTATCTCAAGCAGCTCAAAAGTTCACGTTGCCAAAAGTGTGTGCTGTCGTCTTCAGCTGGTTATCTTCCCCTGGTGGTCACTCATGAGATTGCAAGCAGTTTCCCTTGCTGGAGGACTCATTACTACCTCTCTAGTGTAAAATGATTGAGTGCTAGATGTAGTATTGAACACTTGATGATCTTCCTTTCATGATGAATCCCATTGTAATGCTTCTTACTATATGTGCACGCATGCATGCATCCGCATCGGAAACATCACCTGCAGGCCTTTTTCTAAAATCCTCTTTCCAATATCTTTGACATTATCTACTACACATAACACTTCCTTTTCCTATAAACCTTTTCTTTAAACTTTATATAAAGTCCCACCACCCCACTAAAAATATGTTCTGCACGTATACTTGAGCTTCATGGAGTAGCTTCATGTTCCTATTGATTTTGAAACACTGGTTGGATATTGTAAATTCACTGGGATTGTTTGTTATTTATTTGAGGTGGCAAATAAAGTGGGAATACTTGTTTGTATAGTGTAAATACATTTGAGAATTTATTGGAATAATATATGAATCAATAGAAGAAAAGTGAGAAATGGGTAGAGATATATAAGTTTTACATCTACTCCTTTTTGGACACTGTTACTTTTGTTTTGTTTGTTTTTTATTATCTTGTTTTTATTTTTGGTTCAAAATTAAGTCATTCATGTTTTTAAGTTTGAGTCTCTATGTGCTCAATCTCAGTAAAAAAAAACCTGGATGTATATGTATGTAGCTTTTAAAAAAATATACAATTACAAATCATTTAGAGCCAGTTAAAAATCAGTATGCTGTAAGTGAGACGGAAACTTGGAGCCTCAAGGAGACACACTCTGAGATAGGACTGGTCAGTGAATGAGGAGGCATTTTCTGTCCCGCAGTCAAATTTTTGATCAAATATATTTGCATGTTTACAGATTCTGTACTTATCACTGACGATGATGGGTAGT